GGAAAGAGACAATCTGAGGGGTCTGGGGAGGAGGGCAGAGCCCCATGTCTGTCCTCCAGCCCACATTTCCACTTCCCAAGTGGAAGAGGAGCAGGGAATCCCCAGGGAACACACTGCAGTGGGGTCATGTGGGGTGAATCAAAAGGGCCCTTCCCAACGCCTGGGGCTTCTGCCATCACCAACAGAAAGCTGTGGTAAAAAAAAGTAACATAAAAAAGGAGGTAGTGGTGGGGGGGAAACAGCAAAGCCCCCCCAGGCTGCAGGAAGCACAGCTGAGGCTCAGGCACGCTCCGTTGCCATTTGCTCACCTCTGGCTCCCAGCCAGCTGTGGGGAAACATTTTCTGTCCAAAACTGGATTTCTTTCGGTTGTCAGAACGATTCTGTCGTGCTTGTCCAATTCCACGGCCTCCCCCTCTCCCCCTGGAATGCTGCTCCACACGGATATCAGCAGCACCACCCCCCGGCAGGGGCCGGGCAGGAGCTCAAGTGCCCTCTGCTGGATTTGGTGCCCTCGGTCAGGGATCAAGTTGTTCCCACCCACCCTGGTAAAAGTACCTGTTGTGGAAGGCAGCCTCGTGGTCGGTCAGGACCACCCCTGGGATGTGCCGGGCACGGAGGAAACGTTGGAAGGAGGAGGGAGGAAGAGGTTGTGAAAACTGAGCTTCCTGGAAAGTCACGTTCGCTCCCTGGCTGCTGCGGCTCAGAATATCCAGCAAGTTTCTAACCTGAAGGGGAAAGAAAACATCCCCGGCTCCACTGGATGTGGGATTGCTCTGGGAAGGTTGCCATCCTGCTGGGCTAGAATCCCACAGTGTGTTGGGTGGTTTTTTTTAAGAGGAGTGACTGGGGATTCCCTTCCAATTACCTGCACTTCAACAGATTGATTCATCCTTGAGACGGGATCCGTGTGCATCCAGAGCACTGAGTTCTCCCTCAGAGCCACCTGCAAGGAGAACCAAACCCACCCTCAGAACATGACTGAGTGAGTCTTATAGAGCAGGGAAAAAGAACCAAACCCAGTAAAATGCTGGGAAAACTACAGGTGAATGATCAGAGGGGGTAAAAAGATCCCTCCAAGGAGCCCACACCTGATTCAGCTCCAGGAAGGAATGGATGTTGTCCAAACGGAGAGGGAACTTGTCCTTTTCCATGTCATACACCATCCTGGAGCTGCCAATGTAGTCAAAGGTCTCCTGCAGTGGGAGAAAGAATCAAATCACCCATGGGTCACCCCCAGGTAGTGGCTGGCACAGCTGAGAGCAAGAGTTGAGGGGCTGGAGAGGAACAGAACCTGGGTTTCAAGGGTCTGATCCTAAGGGTGTGCACAGCCTGGCACACACCTGAGGATCAATGGGACATTGTGCCTGGCTCCAAATGAAAAGGTGGTGTAGGAAGGGATGGAGCAGAGGGCAGGAAGGAAGGCAAAGAGGAGAAAAAACAGGGGGCAGCTCAGCAATTCCACAAGCAAGGAAGAGATGGAGGCAAAGTCAGGCTTAAGTGACTGTTCCTGAGAGAGCAGAGAGGCACCAGCACAGCCCTGACTCCTGGTTTTTGGGTAAAGAGGAGAGCAAGGCAGTGCAAGTCTCCAATCAGGGAATTAAACCTATGAAGGGAAAGGTGTCTGCTTCCCTGGGGAACAAAATAAAAGAGGGAGGGGTGAGAGAAATGAGGTGGTGAAAGGAGCTGGGGATGAGAAGGGGCCCCTGAGAAACCCCAGGACAGAGGAGGGCAGGGAAGCCAAGCAGCCCCCAGCCAAGTCTTATCATCCCTCCTCCATCCTGGGAGCAGAGCAGAGAATGTCCCTTCCTCAGGGCTGCATGTCCCTCTCCTCCCCAGGGAAATTCCTGCCTGGAATGAAGGGAATCACATGGCTGCAGCACGGGGCTGGGGGAGCCAGCTTCACAAAGCTGCACAAAAGAAGCCATCAAGCAGAGGAGATGCCTTGAGGGGAACATCAGCTGTTGGCCCATCTAGTCCCTCCTCCACAGGCTTGTTCTGCTTTCCCACAGCTGCCAACTCCAGTGCTGGGCTCTCAGAAATGAGCTGCATTTCCCTGCTGTCAACACATATATTTTTAATCCAGCCTTTTCTGGGCTTCATTTCAGAATTTCAAAGCAGGGGATGAAGCAGAGACCAGACACACAGGCACGGACAGCAAAGTTTGACACGTTCCTGAAAGCTGGGGAGGGATTTTGGGCAAGGGCTTGTAGCAAAAGGACAAATGGGATGGATGAAAAGTGGGAGAGGGAGCTGGAGGTTGGAGCTGAGGAGGGAATTGTGGAGTGTGAGGGTGGGGAGAGCCTGGGCCAGGTTGCCCAGGGAAGCTGTGGCTGCCCCATCCCTGGGGGTGTTGAAGGGCAGGTTGGATGGGGCTTGGAGAAGCCTGGGCTGCTGGGAGGTGTCCCTGCCCATGGGGGGGTTGGGTCTAGATGATCTTGAAGGTCCTTTCAAACCTTCACCATTCTGTGATTGAGATGAAGGAGTGGAGAGGACCAGGGGTTGAGGATACACAGAAATATTTCTGCATGAAAAGCAGGGAAAAAAATTCATTTTCAGGGAGGCAAGGGCTGCTTTGCTACCTTAGAACAAGGCAGATGGTGGAAGGAGGGTGCTGCTCTTACCCCTTGGAAGAAGGTGAACATGATATTCCTTTGCAGGGAATGAATATCTGGCATTTTATGAAGGGCTTCAGCAGCAGCCAAGTGGGTGGCAAAGGAGGAGACAGCACTCTCTGCCCCAGGAGCAATGTTCCAGAAGAAGGAATGGCTGTCAATCTGTAGGAGGGAAGAGGAGGGGTGAGAAATGTGCACACAGAGCAAGGAACATTGTAACGGAAAGGAAATCTTGTCACCTCTCTCCTGTCCCTCTTATCCTACTGGATGGATCCTACTGGGTAATGGATTAAAACTGGAAGAGGGAGATTGAGGTTAAGACATGAGGAGGAAATTCTTCACTGCCAGGGTGTGGAAACCCTGGGTCAGGTTGGCCAGGGAAGCTGTGGCTGCCCCATCCCTGGGGGTGTTGAAGGGCAGGTTGGATGGGGCTTGGAGCAGCCTGGGCTGCTGGGAGGTGTCCCTGGCCAAGCAGGGGGTTGGATCTAGATGATCTTTCAGGTCCCTCCAACCCAAACCAGTCCATGATCCTATGAAGAAGCTGAAGGGTGGCTGGGTGGTGGAAAGACCTGGGGTAGGAGCCAATGCTGGGGTGGGATCTGGGTTTGGGGACGAGAGGAGATCCCTGTTAGAGGCATCTCTGAGCCCTCTCACCAAGCCTGGCTTAAAACAAGTCCAGAGGAGGACACAGAGATGATTCCAGGGCTGGAGCAGCTCTGGAGCCAGGCTGGGAGAGTTGGGGTGTTGAGCCTGGAGAGGAAAAGGCTCCAGGGAGACCTTAGAGCAGCTTCCAGGGCCTGAAGGGGCTCCAGGAAAGCTGGGGAGGGACTTGGGCCAAGGGCAGGGAGGGATGGGATGAGGGGGAGGGATGAAAAGTGGGAGAGGGAGCTGGAGGTTGGAGCTGAGGAGGGAATTGTGGAGTGTGAGGGTGGGGAGAGCCTGGGCCAGGTTGCCTAGGGAAGCTGTGGCTGCCCCATCCATGGAAATGTTCAATCTGAGGCTCTTGCCTCACTGGAGGGTAATAATTGTCAGTTCAACTGCTAGACAAGGAGGGGAACTTCTCTCTCAGCTCTGACCCTGACTCACTGCCTGACACACACTAGCATCTCCCTGGGACTCAGCCACCCCCCCTAAAAACCAAAATACAGAAGAGCCAACCCCACTGTCTCCTCCTGTAACACTTTTTAAGGATGTGAAATACCTTAGGGAAGTGCAAGAAACACATGAATTACTTGTCTGGCTCCAGCAGTGAAGAAAATGTTGACAAAATCTCACAGAGAGACAGAAACAAAGTGCAAAATGTGGCAGCAAGTGGTGAACCCACCAACTAAAGGGCTCCTAGTTGGAGGAACACACCAACCAGGATGACCTACAAGGTTTTGGAGGATGGGAAGAAATGAAAATATCTAAGGAGTATATTCCCATGAAACTCAAAACCCCAGCTCTTCTCAGAATCCCTTCAGACCCAGCAAGATCAAGAGGTACCTACTCTTGTGGCAACAAGAATAAATTCCTTGTCAGGCTCAACTTTCCCAGAGGAGTTGATGGGCTGCAAAGTGCTCCACACGTTGTAGTCAAGAAGGGGATCACACATGATCTCTAGGAAGCAGAAACAACATCTGGTTTGAGTTGAGACCACAAGTGAGACATGAGCTTTCAGGTCAGCACTGGGGACATTCTGGGGACACCCTGGCCACTGGCAAAACCTCTCCCCAGGATCTGGATTTGAATTCATGGGACACAATTTAATGGAGCAGGAACCTCAGAGCCATTCCTGGTGGTCTGTGTGGCAGGAATGAGGTGCATTTCCCAGCCAGCACCTAAATACAGCCCAAAATATCCTTTACTGCTTCAAAAAGTGACATTAGAAGGGCTCAGTTGCCCAGTAAAGCTTGAAGGCAACTCAAATCTTCTTCCTTTTGCACCTCTTTTTATTAAGACCCTAGAACAGGTTGCCCAAGGAAGCTGTGAAAGCTCCATCCCTGGTGGTGTCCCTGGGAAGGTTGGATGGAGCTTGGAGCTACCTGGGCTGGTGGGAGGTGTCCCTGCCCAGGCAGGGGGTTGGATCTAGATGATCTTCAAGGTTCCTTCCAACTCTAACCATTCTATGACTTATATTCCAATGGGATTCCAACTTAGGAGCCTGTGGAAGACTCATCCCTGGAGGTGTTCAAGGCCAGGCTGGATGGGGCTTGGATTAAAACTGGAAGAGGGAGATTGAGGCTGGAGATGAGGAGGGAATTGTGGAGTGTGAGGAGACCCTGGGCCAGGTTGCCCAGGGAAGCTGTGGCTGCCCCATCCCTGGGGGTGTTGAAGGGCAGGTTGGATGGGGCTTGGAGCAGCCTGGGCTGCTGGGAGGTGTCCCTGCTCATGAGAGGCTAGAACCTGATGATCTTTAAGCTTCCTTCTAACCTAAACCATTCAGGAATGACATGATTTTTATCCCCTCTCCCCATGATGAAAAAAAAAACCTGAGGGATCTGCTCACCTGGACTGATGCTGAAGGTGCTTTGGAGGTAGCTGCGCCTCATGCAGGTGACAGTGTTGGTGACAGCATGCATGTGGGAGAAGAGCTGCATGGCACACAGGGGGTACTCAGGGCCAACCCCATCCCGAGGGACATTGTGGTCTTGGTAGCACTGGATGGGAAGAAAAACCACTGACAGATCTGCAACCTTCCTGTGCCATCATCGTGGGACGGATGTGGAATCAGAACTTGGGTTTTGATTGTGGATTTGAAGGTCTAAGCTGAGAGGAAAACCAAAAAGTTCTCCCTGTTCTCCTGAGATGTGCAGCAGTTCCCCCTCTCCAGGAGGGGAAATGGCCTCAGGTTGTAGCAGGGTTGGATCTTGGGAACAATTCCTTCCTGGGAAGGGTTGTCAGGCCCTGGCCCAGGCTGCCCAGGGTGGAGTCCCCATCCCTGGAGGGGTTTCCAAGCCCTGGAGATGGTGCTGAGGGACATGGGGCAGTGGTGGCCTTGGGAGAGGTGGTTGAATGGTTGGGCTGGATGATCTGAAAGGTCTTCTCCAGCCAAAACCATTCCATGATTCTCCTGCTGGTTGGGAAGTCCAGTACCTGCTTAATAACTTGTGTCTCGTTGGCATCTTCAAGGAGAAAAATTGGGAAGTCAAAGTCCTCATAGGAAAGTTCACTGCCCAGGGGGTTCCACAGGGTCTGGTTGCAGTGGGCAAACTGGGGGCCATAATCTTTGGAATAAACACCTGGAAACAGAAAGAACCAGGGAAATTAGAGCCTGGAAGAGAATCCCAAAAATCCCAACCTGCAGGAGCACCTGGGCCTGCTGAGAAAACAGCAGCACATGAAGAACCAGCACCAGGATGGGCTGAGGAAGCAGCTGCGAAAGGTTTGCAGGGTGGAGCTCGTCACACCTGGAGCATTTGTCCCTCACCCAGGGAAACACCACATTCCCCAGGTGGAACACAAACCTGCCTCTTCCAAACCCACCCCGTGCTGGAAGGAGCCCTCAAGATTCCTAAATGCAACCCCCAGGCACTGGGGGGGCAGGAGGGGACAGGGAGGGGACAGATGCCAGCACTGCAAAGTGGTGGCAGGAGCAGATGTGGCTCCTCCAGAGCAGAGAGGTTTGTGGAAACAAGAGCTGGAGCAATTCCAGCCCTGGGGGTGAAAACAGGGAAATGAAAACCCAACTGAGACCAGAGGGGAGGATTCAGGGAGGAAGGATGACATTTTGAGAAGTGGTAGCACCCCCAGCAGCCAAGCTCTGCCAACACATGATGGTTCAACCATCACCTGAGGACTAAGCACAAGTTTGGGGCTCCAGGAAAGCTGGGGAGGGACTTGGGCCAAGGGCAGGGAGGGATGGGATGAGGGGGAGGGATGAAAAGTGGGAGAGGGAGCTGGAGGTTGGAGCTGAGGAGGGAATTGTGGAGTGTGAGGGTGGGGAGAGCCTGGGGCAGGTTGCCCAGGGAAGCTGTGGCTGCCCCATCCCTGGGGGTGTTGAAGGGCAGGTTGGATGGGGCTTGGAGCAGCCTGGGCTGCTGGGAGGTGTCCCTGCCCATGCAGGGGGTGGGATCTAGAAGATTTGAAGGTCCCACCAGCCCAACCCATCCACTGATCCTATGAAATTTCACATATTAAAGCAAAAGCAGTTACACCCACCCTGGGTCAGGTTCAACACTTTCACTGCTGTTATAACCAGTTTATCCCAGTCCAGTTTTCCCCCAACCCCCTCCTTTGAAACAAAACACTGAACCCATCACCTCCAACATCACTTTGATTCAAGTGCAGCTGCAATCTCAGCTTCCCTTCACCATCAAATCATGGGATGGGTTGGGTTAGAGGGACCTTCAAGATCATCTAGATCCAACCCCCCTGCATGGGCAGGGACACCTCCCACCAGCCCAGGTTGCCCCCCAAGTTGCCTCCTCCCCTTTATACCACTTTCTCTGACCACCCAGTGAAGGAACCTCCTCCTCCTCAGGATGAGGACCCCAGTTTCCTTACCAAACCCATCATTGGGACACTTCAAACCAGGTGAGAACCCCTGAGCAGGGCTGGGCTTGGAAATGGTCACAGCCAGGCCAGACACTCGGGAGGTTTTCTTCAGCTTCAGCATCACCCTCCTGGAAGAGGGAAAACATGAAGTGGAATCATTAATTCCTTCCTTAATTAACAAAGAGTTACAATCCAAGACCTGCTGCTGGTGAGGTGGAGCATCAAAACAACCCCAATGTCCCTTTTTCTTTGGGTTCTCACACAGGAACAAGGAGGAAACTTCACTCCTTTCCTGCTCTGCTCAGCAGAGATGTGACCAATAATCACCTTGCTGTTTAATTAGCTTGACTAATTGCTGGAGTGATGAGGATTTACCCAGAGCTGAGCTCTTCCAAGCCCATTCCAGAAAGAAATAAACCCAGACATTAAATGAGATGAAAACCCCCAACATTTCACTCTGGGGAAGGTCGGGCTGAAAACCAAACAACAAAAGCTTTTCCTCCCCAAATGAGGGACCCACCTTGATCTTCTGGGGTTCCAGAAGATCAACTGACCTGTTGAAGAGTTGCCCATCCAGCAGGATCATGTAGGGGGGGTGTGGGCCATCAGCAAGCACCCAGTTGAGGTCTTCCTCCTTCTCAACCACGTGGATCACCCCCGTGTCTCCACTGATGGAGGCTGTGGGGACACAGGGTGAACTTCCCAGGGATCTGCTTCCTTCTCCAACCCACCATGGAGGAGCAGGGCAGAGTGTTAGTTTGGGCTCTAGGGAAGAAAAGCTGGTGGGATCCAAGGGCTGGAGGAAGTTCATTTGGGGGAAGAGGCACCAGGGAGCCAGAGCAGGAGGGAAAGAAGAGAGAAAATCAACTTGGAGAGACTTGGGAAAGGAGCAGGAAGGGCCTAAAAGCAGCTTTTGTTGAAGGACATCAGGGCAGGGCCTTCAGCTGACCAAGCACTGAGGGTGCCCTGTGACTGCACCACAGGATGGGTTGGGGTGGAGGGAACTGAAATACCATCTAGATCCAACTTCCCTGCTTTGAACAGGGCCACCTCCCAGCAGCCCAGGCTGCTCCAAGCCCCATCCAACCTGCCCTTCAACACCCCCAGGGAGGGGGCAGCCACAGCTTCCCTGGCCAACCTGGCCCAGGCTCTCCCCACCCTCACACTCCACAATTCCCTCCTCAGCTCCAACCTCCAGCTCCCTCTCCCACTTTTCATCCCTCCCCCTCATCCCATCCCTCCCTGCCCTTGGCCCAAGTCCCTCCCCAGCTTTCCTGGAGCCCCTTCAGGCCCTGGAAGCTGCTCTAAGGTCTCCCTGGAGCCTTCTCCTCTCCAGGCTCAACACCCCAACTCTCCCAGCCTGGCTCCAGAGCTGCTCCAGCCCTCCCCGCATCTCCGGGGCCTCCTCTGGCCTCTCTCCACCAGCTCCATGTCCCTCCTGTGCTGGGGGCTCCAGGACGGGTCCCAGTTCTCCAGGGGGTTTCTCCAGAGCAGAACAGAGGGGACAATCCCCTCCCTGGCCCTGCTGATCCCTCTGCTGGTGACACAGCCCAGGCCACAGGGGGTTTCTGTGCTCCATCACTCATTATTGGCCCATCTTGAGCTTCTCAAGGCTGAGTGAGGAAAGACAAGGGGGAAACTGAGGCCACGAGACCAAACAGCACAGGGAAGAGCCAGGACCTGCCCCCAGGACCCCCTCAGTAACTCAAGATGGTGAGTTCAGAACTGGGGAGCACCAGGACAGCCCAGCAGGAGGACAAAAGGTTGTGACACCAAAAGGGTTGAGCAACAAAGCAGGTCCAGCCCTTGAAACCTCAACTTGTCCCCAAGGGAACAAGGGAAGGTCAAAGACCTTCCAGAAGAAACTACTGATAAAAGCAAACACTTTGTCAACCTCCCTCTCAACTGTCAGGAAGTGCCTGTTCTTCTGGGAAAGGAGCCAGAGAACCTTGGAGCTGGGGTTCTGTGACAGAGCAGGCACAGCAGGGCTGCCCTGAGGCGACAGATGCCAACCCTGGGTGCTGGGAGGGGCTCAGGGGGAAAGTGAAAGTGGAACTGGATTGGAAAGCAGCAAAACACCAACTCACACCAGTTTCCATCAAAAATTCTGCTCCCTCACTGACCCAGTCCCTGCAGTCCTGCCTCCCCCATCTTAATGGGACAAAAAAAGCCCCCCCAAGGTTAACAAACAAGCTCAGCCAAACCCCCTGCTCCCTGGAAGTGTCCAAAGGCAGGTTGGATGGGGCTGGGAGGAACCTGGGCTGGTGGGAGGTGTCCCTGCCCATTCAGGGGTG